CCCCGTTTTCGTTGGCTACTCACACCAGCGACAAAGCACTTGTTGCTCGCATCCTCTCCGTTTCACATCGCGTCGTTTCACGGCTACAAATCGATCCCCGTGTTTCAACGTGTTGGCCAACGGGATTGGTGGTGGCCCAAAAAGCTTGTGCTCGGTCAAGCTAGCGAACTTCTCGCGGCCTGTTCCGCCAGCGAATGCTTCCAGTTAAAGACTAAATGCGTAGCCGCGTTCTGGCAGCGATGTGTCGACTGCACTGACGCTACACTGACTCTATTTTAGCGCCTTAAGTCGCTGTCACGCGATAAACCGACCAAACTACCCTCTCCTTTTCACTGGAGGCAATCACGATTTCATTGCTCATCTCGATATCACCGAGTCGGTCGCTTTTAACCATTGTCAGCTATTGTCGAGAGGTTTTCTAGACAGAGTTCAATTGATCTATGTCCACCGGTTTGCACAAACACGACGTTAAACACTGGCAAAGTCTTTTTAACGAAACTCTCACTGTGAATTTCGTCGTTTGATCTAACTCGAAGCAAATATTGAGGGATACTTTGATGATTCGAACGCTTGATGGACCGATCATCGAATGAGAGATCGTCTGGTTCTTCCAGCGAGCATCGCGTGAAACTACAGTCGATTGCGCTTCACAGGTAGGTAATTCGATGATTGTCACCAATGCCGCCGGTCGATTGCGTAACAGCCCATCCTTTGTTCGCAGTTCGCGTTTATTATTTGCGCGCTAACAACTCCTATGCTTTGGATTTTTCCGTGTCCAGAGAAACTCTATTTTCAATCGGACCACACCAAGTCTAATAAGCAAGGCAAACTTCACTTTCGAGCGTCTAGTCTCTAGTATTATAGAATAACAGTAGAAACCAGCAGAGCGACTAGCTTGGGCGAGTTTCGTCAACAATTTCCGACGAAATTAGAATAGGTACGTGTACCGGGTCAACTGTTCTTAGATCTACACAGGTGTGTTTATAAATATACAAGCGAGGGGAGTTTACACGAATTTAGAGGAAGTAACTAGAAGAACCATGTCTAAAAACTGTTCGATTCGTACGAAGTATAACTGTCTTTGGTAAATACAATAACAATAACGATATTTGAACTTTCGCTGAACAAACACAACTCAAGTGGAAGATTCCTTTCTGATTCACGTTTATCCACCAAAATTTCAGCATCCATCGATTGGGTCCGGTGGTAGGTGTCCATCGGAGAAAAGGTGGAAAAATCCAGTTCAATTTCCAGGTTCATGCGTAATTACACAGAAGCTGGGACAATTGAGGAGGATGGTCGATAAAATCTGTAGAAATTCGGCCGGTCGTAACGGCTGGCTCGCGTGATAAAGCTCGAAGCGCTATTCGCGCCAATTGTTACCGGTCCGCCGCGCTGCGCCGTTTTCAAGTTTATTAATGCAGCCGCGTAACCGAGAGCGCGCACGCGGAAACGCAGAGGCGACCCCCGTCTCTACGACGACGCGTTTATTCGTACGAGGTCAAGATCATTGTCGTTCGCTCGCTCAGCCTGGATTCCATCACGTTCTGCCGCGAATCCTCCACAATTACCTCCTTTCTGTCGCGAAAATCTTCTATTTTCTATGAGATTTTACCTTTCTCGAACAGAGATCTTCAATTCTGACGGATTTGCGCGAAACATCTGCTTCATAACGGTTTTTCACTTGGAAAAAGCGGACACTGGAGAGCAAAAACTTGTCCGGATGAACGAGTTGATTACAATGACGATGATTCTCAACCTTGATGAATTTCGAGTTCCGTTAAAGCAGCATGCGATAGGCACTTGGAGAGAAACGTAGCTTCTTGCAACTCTTTTGGGGAAAAAATTCAAGTCCAAATTGTGATAAAAATGGTTAAAAATGTTACTTGAATTTCTGAAAGAGCAGAAAATGGAAAAAATGTTGTACAAGTGTACTCGCAGCGTGAGAAACATGAACTTCGAAAATGAAACTACCCAAATCCAGAGAACAACGTTGTCAATGAACGGCAAAAACCGGACACAAAGTCTCCCGAAGGAGAATAGTTATTGTTTTATATTGTCGAAAGAAAATTTACTTTGCCATTGTATTCTCGTAACAGGTTTCGACATAAAGCTCGCGGCCATTGTACGCTGGATTAAAAAAAAAAAAAAAAAAAAAAAAAAGGTAAATTCAATACGCGAGTTGCCATTTTGTTCGGAAAACTTTTCAGAGGGAATTTCCAAAATGTTATTACAGCGACGAAAAAAATTACATTCACTTGGGAACGACTATTTTTTCCCCCAACAAGAGTACAATGGGATTCACCAATTTGAAGACCATTGTTTTTACCCCAAAATAACTTTCTGATAAATCGTTTTCAACCGTTCGTTCGTTAATCGATACGTGCAAGCACCTTCGTTTGCCTATATTAGACAAATGCAGCTACTTCGACGAAACACCGAGACTGTACATTTTCTAATTACAACGCGCGAAAAAAGTCGAATAATAAAAAAAGGTGGGGAAGAAAGAAAAAAAAGAGTTTCGTCCAAAATAAAGTACGGCAAGAGATAACGGGAATACGTGCTCAATACTCCCATCGAGGTAACTTTTCATCGCGCCTTCAGGGTCGACCCAGTTTTCTATTTTAATCGTGGCCCTTCTCGAGCCACAATTTCCCTCGAGTCCCTCTTTATTATCTCTTCTCCATTAATTAAAACTCCGCCGGACACAAAAATCATGATCACCTTTCTTTTTTTTTGTCTTTTTCAACAGAGGTTGAGGCTGTCTGGGGATGGGTGCATGGATGGATGGATAGAACCAGATTCTGACTGAACCTGGTGGCGTTATTAAGCGGAGTATGTATTAATTTTCCACGAGGTGAACAGAGAGTAGCAAGGTACGCTTAGAGCTCTAATGAGCAAGGGACCCGACGAAAACATCGTAACGGGGGCGTGTCCGGTTATTTCGAGACGGGGACAAGGGGCATCAACCTGATCCATCGAGCTGCATATCGCTCCGAGGTACATACCTACATACGTGCGTAATAGGCTAAATGCAAGTAGCTGTAGATGGAGGGAGGGCCTAAATTACAGGCAGACGATGTGACAAGGTGTATATATTTTATGGGTTATAGAGCAAATTTTTAGTTTTTCCTTATTCTCCAAACTTTATTTTTTATAGTATTGTTACGAATCGCGATATGTTTGTTGCGAAACCGATAATTGTCCCTCTTTTTGAGTCAGACCATTTAAGGAATCTACTCGGGATAGGGGACTCAGCTGTTTGCTGTTAAAACTATATACAGTAAATTCTCTACAAGTGTCAGTCAGTTTGGATTCTACAAGTGTCAGTATAGATGGTCCTACGCCTAGGTCTGCGTCATTGCTGCGCCTATGTTATCTCGCTCGC